GAAACGAAATACCACCCCCACCCCGCTGCCGAAATTCAAAACAGAAAAAAGAATATTAAAATGTGAAAAAAAAAAGAAAATCTAATAAAATAAAAAAGAAAAAAGTGCAAAACAGGAACAAATAAAAAAAAAATTAAGAATACACGAAAAATGGATTTTTTTTTGTTTTTTTCAAAAGTGTCGGTGAAAATGGCAAGTGAAAATGCTTGAGCTCTCTGCCAGTCTGACGAAATGGTTGGACGCCTCTTGAAGACGGACAAAGAGATAGAATTTCGCTGCTTGGCCGTCCACTTGTCCCTGTAGTTATTTGATTTGGTCCTTGTTTCTTTCGAAGTTATTTGCTGTCAATAAATGGGCGAATTCGCCTATTGCATTATGGGAGCAGCTGTCTGGCAATGGGCGGGAAGATCGAAACTGGAAAGGCTCTTATAAGTAAAAGGGAGAAACAGGAAATGGTAATGGGGGTGATTGGGAGGTGGGGGTGATCGTGAGGTGGGGGTGATTGGGAGGTGGGGTGATTGGGAGGTGGGGGTGGAATAGAAGGATTGAACGATTGTGAAGAAGAAAGAGAAATGTCAGGTGGAAGAGAATAAAAGAGAATATGAAAGGAAAGCAAAATAAAGAGGGTGAGGTAGAAAAGGAAAGAAGAAGAAGAAGAAGAAGAAGAAGAAGAAGAAGAAGAAGAAGAATGAATGAATGAAAGAAGTGGTGAATAAGAAGAAAATAAATGAATGAATGAATGAGTGAATGAATGAAGACGAAGAAGAAAATGAATGAATGAATGAATGAAGTGGCAAAGAAGAAAATTAATGAATGAAGTGGTGAAGAAGAAGGAGAAAATGAATGAATGAAGTGGTGAAGAAGAAAAGGAAGAAAATGAATGAATGGAGTGGTGAAGAAGAAGAAGAAGAAGAAGAAGAAGAAGGAGAATGAATGAATGAATGAATGAATGAATGAATGAAAGAAGTAATGAAGAAGAAGAAAAAGAGAATGAATGAAGTGGTGAAGAAGAAAAAGAAGAAGAGGACGAAAAAGAAAAAGAAGACGACAACGATTGAGAAGAAGAAGAAGAAGAAGAAGAAGAAGAAGAAGAAGAAGAATGTGAAGAAGTTGAAGAAGAGAGGTGAAAAAAGAAGAAAAAGAAGGGGAATTTTGAGAAGAAGAAGAATTTTAAAATGTTGGAGAAGAAGAACTTGAAGAAGAAGAAGAAGAAGAAGAAGAAGAAGAATTTTAGGGAATGAAAAAGAAAAGAAAGTAAATGAAAAACAAAGTGATAGCAAAAGAAATGAGAGAACAAGTATGACACAAGAATGAATTATGCGTGCGAAGCATAACGGAAGAGAAAATGACAAAGAAGAGACGTTGCCTGAAAAAAACTAGAAATTCAAACTAGAAATTCATCTTAATCTAGTAGAAAATAAAGTACCTAAAATATAAGCCAAAGAAAATGATTTCTTTTCATTTAGGGACAGATCGATGGTAAAATTTCTATTGGAAATCATCGAATGCATCAATTCTAAACGTTTTATTAGACTTAGATTGTTCAGAATAGTCACTTGCAGTATATTGCATGAACAAGATGAAGGGAAAAAAAGAACAAAAGGTTTAAATACGAGTTTAAAAATAAAGGAAAATGAATGAAAGATTTGATAAAAGGTTAAGATTGTAACTGGAATAAGAAGAACATATATATATATATATATATATATATATATATATATATATATATATATATATATAAAAAAGCAAGAAAAAATATGATGAATGAAGAGAATAACAGATATTTACAGGGAGACGGAATAAGAAAAAAAAGAAATAATAAAAGAAGGAAAGAAAATGGAAAGAAAGAACAATGAATGAATGAATGAAAGGGAGCTTATTGATGAAGGTGGCAGAAGGAATAAAGCTGAGATTTCAATAGGTTGAGAAATCGTGATGAAAACAAAGAAAGAAAGAAAGAATTATTGTAGGAAGAGAAGAAAAGAGAATTAAAAGTATTGAAAATTGCTAAGCATTTGAGAAAGAAACTAAGAAACAAAGTGAAGTTGCTTGAAAAGATCGGGGAACTGTTCAAAAGAAAGAAAGAAAGAAAGAAAGAAAAAAAGAAAGAAAGAAAGAAAGAAAGAAAAGGCAATACATATTCGAAAACGAAGCGGAGATTGAGAAAGAAAGAAGCAAACAAACAAGCAAGTAAGCATTTCATTAAGAAAAGAAAGAAAGTTTTGAAAGCCAAGGGAAGATTAAGAAAGAAAGAAAGAAAGAAAGAAAGAAAGAAAGAAAGAAAGAAAGAAAGAAAGAAATAGTTGGAAACCAAGTGAAAATTATGAAAGAAAGAAAGAAAGAAAGAAAGAAAGAAAGAAAGAAAGAAAGAAAGAAAGAAAAATATATTTTTGAACGTCTAGGGAAACACGAAATTTTCAACTTCAATGGAAAGAAAGAAAGAAAGAAAAAAAGAAAGAAAGAAAGAAAGAAAGAAAGAAAGACAGAAAGAAAGAAAGAAATAAAGACGGGAAGAAAGAAAGAAAGATAGAAAGAAAAATATATTTTTGAACGTCTAGGGAAACACGAAATTTTCAACTTCAATGGAAAGAAAGAAAGAAAGAAAGAAAGAAAGAAAGACAGAAAGAAAGAAAGACGGAAGAAAGAAAGAAAGAAAGAAAGAAAGAAATAAAAGTTGGAAACCAAGTGGAAATTAAGAAAGAAAGAAAGAAAGAAAGACGGGAAGAAAGAAAGAAAGAAAGAAAGAAAAAAGAAAGAAAGAAAAGAAAGAAAAAGAAAGAAAAAAATAGTTGGAAACCAAGTGGGAAATTAAGAAAAAGAAAGAAAGAAAGAAAGAAAGAAAGAAAGAAAGAAAGAAAGAAAGAAAGAAAAATATATTTTGAACGTCTAGGGAAACACGAAATTTTCAACTTCAATGGAAAGAAAGAAAGAAAGAAAGAAAGAAAGAAAGAAAGAAAGAAAGAAATAGTTGGAAACCAAGTGGAAATTAAGAAAGAAAGAAAGAAAGAAAGAAAGAAATAGTTGGAAACCAAGTTGAAATTAAGAAGAAAGAAAGAAAGAAAGAAAGAAAGAAAGAAAGGAAAGAAAGAAAGAAAGAAAGAAAGAAAAATATATTTTTGAACGTCTAGGGAAACACGAAATTTTCAACTTCAATGGAAAGAAAGAAAGAAAGAAAGAAAGAAAGAAAGAAAGAAAGAAATAGTTGGAAATAAAGTGGAAATTATGAAAGAAAGAAAGAAAGAAAGAAAGAAAGAAAGAAAGAAAGAAAGAAAGAAAAAAAATATTTTGAACGTCGAGGGAAACACGAAATTTTCAACTTCAGTGGAAAGAAAGAAAGAAGGAAAGAAAGACGGAAAAATATATTTTGAAAGAAAGAAAGAAAGAAAGAAAGAAAGAAAGAAAGAAAGAAAGAAAGAAAGAAATAGTTGGAAACCAAGTGGAAATTAAGAAAGAAAGAAAGAAAGAAGGAAAGAAAGAAAGAAAGAAAGAAAGAAAGAAAGAAAGAAAGAAAGAAATAGTTGGAAACCAAGTGGAAATGAAGAAGAAAGAAAAAAAGAAAGAAAGAAAGAAAGAAAGAAAGAAAGAAAGAAAGAAAGAAAGAAAGAAAGAAAAATATATTTTTGAACGTCTAGGGAAACACGAAATTTTCAACTTCAATGGAAAGAAAGAAAGAAAGAAAGAAAGAAAGAAAGAAAGAAAGAAAGAAAGAAAGAACACAATACGCTAAAGAAGATTTTGAAAGCCAAGTGAAGATTAAGAAAAAAAGAAAGAAAAAAGAGAGGTAGAAAGAAAGAAAGAACCTGTTATTAAAGTTGCAAAAAGTAAAGCTGAAGCAGCAAGAGAAGGAACGAAACTGAACATTTCCACAAACTGTAAACGAAGCAAAATATCGCATTACTCGGATAAAGCTTAAAAGGCGGGAATAATAATAATAATAATAATAATAATAATAATAATAATAATAATAATAATAATAATAAACAGTCATAAGCAAATGCAAAAGAAGAGGGCAAGCGAAGGCAATGGCAAACATCAAATCCAAATCAACACGCATGCGCATTTCGTATCAATACTAAATCCTATAACAGATGACGCTGAGATAACATAGAGAAAGGAGATTAATATGTCGTCCGATATACAGAACTATTTCTGCTATGATCTCCAGAAATGCTTTTTAACTTGATTAGTGTTTTGTTTTGTCATTTTGTTTCGATAATAAATTTTGTCATAGTCTTTTTCCTTTTTGTCTTATACAATAATAAATACGTGAATTTTGATCCGTTTGCAAAAGAATTTGTCTGATCTTTATCTAAGGCATTAATAAGCTATTCAATTAAAACCAGATAAAATCTTATTTAATAATTTTACGTAATTGCCTTGATCTTGTTGTAATTAATAGAATGGATTACACACCATCAGTGTACTTGTACGATGTGGTAGCTATAGGGTTAGGAAACTGAATTGTAACCAACAAGAGAAGTAGTACAGGAAGAATGAACGAAATCTTTCTTTAAAAAAAAAAAAAAAAAAGGGAAATGTAGGAGAAAGAAAGAAAGAAACTTTCGAACGTCAAGGGAAGATTAAGAAAGAAAGAAAGAAAGAAAGAAAGAAAGAAAGAAAGAAAGAAAGAAAGATGTAATGAATGAATGAATAAAAGTAGCCTATTCAGGAAGAAAGAAAAAAGAAAGAAAGAAAAAAAGTAACTAACTTTCAAGCGTCAAGGGAAAATTAAGAAAGAAAGAAAGAAAGAAAGAAAGAAAGAAAGAAAGAAAGAAAGAAAGAAAGAAAAACAGAAAAAAGAGAAATGAAATAAACAGATGAACAATAAGCTGGAGAAAGAAAGAAAGAAAGAAAGAAAGAAAGAAAGAAATGGAGACTGCAAGAAAGATGTAATGAATGAATGAATAAAAGTAGCCTATTCAGGAAGAAAGAAAAAAGAAAGAAAGAAAGTAACTAACTTTCAAGCGTCAAGGGAAAATTAAGAAAGAAAGTAAGAAAGA